CCACCCCCCACCCCAAAGATCTGCTGCATCTGCCGCACGCCCTTTACCGACCCCACTACCACACGGACATGCGCACACACCTTCTGCTCCGAGTGCATCCTGCGCGCGCTCTCGCACTCATCCCTGTGCCCCGTTGACCGCTCGCCGCTTGCCCTGGAGGACCTGGGGGCGGCGGGGCCTATCGTTCGGTCGGTGCGTCTGCTTGTATTTCTGCTTGCTTCTTTCGCTTCGAATTAATACGGTTGGTCTGGTAGATGGTAGACGAACTCCCGGTCGAGTGTGTGCACCGTGCCGAAGGGTGTCTGCACGTCTGTCAGAGGCAGGATCTGGCGACGCACCTGAAGGAGGGATGTGCGTTTGCAGAGGTGCGTTGTGAGCTGCGGGGGTGCGAGGAAGTGTCAGTGAAGCGAGACGGGATGAAGAAGCACTTGCTGGAAGCTCATGGGCAGGAGGTGGATGGACGCGAGGAAGGGAAGGATCGGAAGGAGGGGCAGAAACAGGATGAACTTGAAGACGAGACGTCAGATAATACAGAGTCGGAGGTACGTCCTACCCCCTTCATCACTTTCTACCACCCGTCTCACCTCATCGCAGACCCAACCTTGTCCACACGCCGCCCTTGGATGTCCATACACCGGGACGGGCCCTCCTACCTCCCACCTCGCCTCTTGCCCCTACGAAGCGCTCAAGGGCTTCGTCTCAGCACACACTGCGAGGAACGCCCTCCTCACTGAACAGAATATACTACTGCGCCACCGTGTTGACACCTTGGAGAGCGCGATGCAGGTCATGAGGAGGGAGATGGGCGCTGTAAGGGCAGCATTGGGGCCTTGGTACAAGACGGCTTATCATGGGGTGGTACTCCCCCGCTCAGCTGGGACGAGCAGTGAGCTGCCGGTCGGGTTGCAGCCTGCCAGTGCTGGGCCTTCTGGGGTGGTGGGTTTGGGCATGGGAGGCGCGCCGGAATTGGAGCACGCTCAGGTTGTAACAGGGACCTCGATTGCACCGGACATCTTCGCGCCGTACTTCCCGATGGAAGAGAGCCTGCAGCCACGAGCGCCAATGGGCCATCGCACCTCCGCGAGCCTCGGTGGTGAGGGCGCTTACGGGCGTTCTGCCAGTGCTGCTGGCGTTATCGCGCCTCTCGACCTTGGGACGACGCTAGAAGGGACGCTTACGGGCCTCAGGGAGAGTGTGGTGGGGCTCGCGGCGGGGGTGGACTCTGTAGGGAGGAGGAGTGAGATCGCGATCGCGAATGAGACGCTGAGGTTGCAGGAGGAGCTGATGTCGGTGCGGGTGCAGATGAATGGACTGAGGATGCAAGTGCATGGGATGATGATGGATCGGAACGCTGCTCTGCGGGGCGGGGAGGAGGGGGCGGTATTTGGGCAGCAGCAGCAGTTTCCCGTGTACCCTGCACCTCGGGTGAACTTTGGAGTCCCGCCGTCGATTACAAAACTATAGCAGGAGTACAATTGGGTATGTAGGTAGAGTGTACAGAATAGAGAGTGGTCTACGCGTTATGCGGAAGCGGCCCAGGCAGAGTCGAGCTGGTCGAGGAGGGACTGGAGGTCCTTGACTGCGGCTTTGCGGTGGGCGCGTGCGGTAGCCCAGTCGCGCTCGGGGACGATGGCGTCAAAGCGGAGGAGGGCCTGGAGGAGAAGCTCTGAGAGGCGGAGGTGCTCCTTGGTGAGGGACGCGCGGGGCTGGTGAGCAAGGTCTGCGATGAACTGGTGGTGGGCCGGGCGGAGGGCTGTGTTTACGGTATTGAGCTCTGCCTGGATTGCGGCGATCTGGGCGTGCTCTGTGTTCTTGAAGGGGGCGGGGGCCTCTGTGTTTGCGACGATGGCGAGGGCGGAGTTGGGGCGGAGGTGGTAGACGGAGACTAGCAAGGATGAGGATAGATTGAGGGATAGATATGACGTAAGAGACTCACTGGGTGCGTTGTCGTCTGCGCAGACGGCGCCGTCGTGGACGATGGCAAAGGCGGCGGGGGCGAGCTGTGTGTATGCGGCAATGGAGTTGCGGATGGCAGCGAGCTTTGTGTCCGGCGGGGGGAGGTCGAAGCAGAAGCGGTCTCTGCCCCAGTGGACTGTGACGGGCATGATGACGTTCAGAGCCAACCAAGCTTCTCTCCTCCTGCGACCACCATGTCAGACCCAAAGCACCACCGCTCAAACCCTCTCACCGGCCTCCGCCAGCACCACCCCGCCGCAACCCCCATTCCCCCCTCTCTCCAGGCAAAGATGGCCGCCTTCGCAAACCGCTCGAACAAGCCCCCGCCCACTGCCGCTACCTTCAACCAGCACCAGCCCCACGTCGATGCCGCCGCCGCCGCTCTCCACCGCGCAAACCTCGACTCACACCCCGTCCTCCTCCCCGCCAACTCGTTCCCCTCCCCCAAGACGTCCGGCATGGCCGCACGACGCCAGCGGCCCGCCTTCTCCCTCCGCGACATCGACGCTTCCCTCATCAACGACGGCCCCGCAGCTGCAGGCCTCGGCGCAGGTCGCCCGTCCCTCGCCCACGACATTCCCCGCCGCCAACCCCAGGCCGGCAATTTTGGCTCGCCCTTCTCAAATTTCAGCAAGATCGTGTACGTTGTCCCATTTCACACTTGCATGTTCCGTGATTCCGTTCATGCTCACACCCCGTCCTGCCGATCCACAGCGATCCCTCGGGGGCCCTCAACTTCAGCGGCAAGGCCATCCTCCATGCCCAGGGCGTCAACTTCCAGAGCGGTGCCTCCTTCGCTATCAACATGAATCAGCTCCAGCTCGACGAGGAGCTCGGCAAGGGCAATTACGGCACTGTAAAAAAGGTTCTCCACAAGCCCACAAACGTCACCATGGCCATGAAGGTGCTTCCTTCGATTCTAATCCATCCTGATTATCTTATCTCATAAACTCAGGAAATCCGCCTCGAGCTCGAGGACGCTAAACTCAATGCTATCATCATGGAGCTCGACGTTCTCCACCGCGCAGTCGCTCCAGAGATCGTCGAGTTTTATGGTGCCTTCTTTATCGAGTCGTGCGTCTACTACTGCATGGAATACATGGACGCCGGCTCGCTAGACAAGCTCCAGGCAGCAGGCGTCCCAGAAGACGTTCTCGCACGCATCGCCGCGAGCATGGTCAGGGGTCTCAAATTCTTGAAGGACGAGCTGAACGTCATACACCGAGGTGCGTCTGCGTCTTGTCCCGTCCGAGAATGATTTTGAGAGCATACGGCGTAGATGTGAAACCGACGAACGTGCTCGTTAGTCGAAAAGGACAGATAAAGCTGTGCGACTTTGGGATATCGGGAGAGCTCGACAAGTCGCTCGCAAAGACTAACATCGGGTGTCAGTCCTACATGGCCGTACGTCCTCCTCGTCTCGCCCTTCCTCCTTTTCTCATCTCCTTGCTTCCTTACAGCCCGAACGCATCAAAGGCGAGTCGCAAAACAACCTCGGCACATACACCGTCTCCTCCGATGTCTGGTCCCTCGGGCTCTCCATGATCGAGATCGGCCTCGGGCGGTACCCCTACCCACCCGAGACCTACTCCAATGTCTTCGCACAGCTCACGGCCATCGTGCACGGTGACCCCCCAGAGCTCCCCGAGGACAAGTACGGCGACACAGCGAGGAGCTGGGTCGCGCTGTGTTTGAGGAAGGACCCGGAGAAGAGGGCGACGTATCAGGAGCTTTTGGTGCGTGCTCCTTCGTCTTGTTTTCGGTTGGGAAGACGCGTGCTGACGTCGGTCCTTCCTCTCTTTTTTGTCCCGACTCGCACACCGCTATGCGCTCCCTCATCTCTCCCTCTCTTCTTCCGCCCTCTGGATCTCTGGCAACAGGCGCACCCCTTCCTCGTGCACGACCGCGAGAGCTCCGTGGACATGGTCGGCTGGGTCAAGAGGTCCCTGGACTGGAAGAAGGCCGCGGCGCTCGAGGCCGCCAAGGCGCTGTTGCCACAATCGGTCTGAACGCGCGCGTATGTTTGCGTCATAGCGCTTACATGCGAAGTGCAACCTCCATTGGTCAGAACTTGAAGGAGATAACGAAGGCTTGAGGCTCGATATACGGACCGAAACCATCCACGCGCACGACCGGGACGTGTCATCCGCGTTCGTCGCCACTGTCATCGTCATCGGCGCCGTTAGTGGGACATCGTCCTCAGCGTCCACACTGCTGAAAGCCGCATAAATGCAAATGTTTCCGGCTAGGACATCGCATCTGTTGTCGCCATATATCACCCTTGTACGCCCCAGGTTGGAAGTGCACCATCCCGTTGGATATTTATTCCACCTTCATCACCGCCATAATAGTCGTCTTCACCTCCCAGTCCCCGAACTACGTACAGTCGCACCCAATCGCACCCTCTCCGACCTACCCAGCATTTTTAGTCATAATATACCGACGTCGCACCTCCTTCGCCCATCAACAATCGTTGCACCCAGTACTTGCACCATGTACATCAACATCGACGGATTGTTTTCCTTACCTGTCCTTCCGCCCGCCAATTCCGTGAAGACATACTGCCGTATTTCAGCCAGTTCTGCTGGCGCTCAGTTTGACATTTCTTGATCAGGCGTCGAGAAGGTCTTGCAGTCTCGATCTCGACGCAATTCTTGATTCTCGACACTGCGCCGTTAGAAGATGAAGGCCGCCATTCTACCATCACCGTTTGCCTCCGGTTGTCAATGGGTAGACAAGTCGAGTAAGAGCTAGACGGGCAAGTAGGCAGGCAGGTGGTCTGCGACTATCATCTACCAACCGTCTCTTGTGTTGTTTCGTCGATCGAATCTACATGCAAACTTATATCCTGGGGTTTTTTCTTTCTATTTCCTTCTTCATATTCCGGGTACATATTGGTTTGGGGTTTTGGGTCTAAGTCGTCTTTTCTTCTTCACTCTGTCCAATGGCCTTACAACCATCTTCCAATCCCATTGGTGCGCCACTTATGCTTTTGATACTTCCATTCCCTCTAGCTTTTAACTTACCAGCGTGGCGACCTTATACTTCGTGTATCTATCATCCGTCCTCTGCATCATCCATGATACCCTTCCCATCCCTCCATCTACGTACACATCCACCAGTTACCTCGACGCATAATCATTATCATCGCCATCCTCATCATCTTGCACTATATCAATGCCAGGCCATACATGAACCCTATGCATATATTCTACACTCTACATACGCATACGTATATATAGCACGCTCCGTGGACAATTACCACTACGAACGAACAATCAGTAGTAATTACCACGAGCATCCTTCATAACACATCTTAACCTTAGAATGTTATCATGGTTTTTCTTTCTTCAAAATAAGGTACAAGGACATAGACTTACATAGACTTTGAACGTTCGATACTTCGATTGTTACGAAGTAGGAGCGAAGATAGGAGGCAACTACATCGAGGATTGGTATCTACCGGTATATGGCTGTGGCCGACAGTCAACGAAACTTTGTTCGGTTGCTCGAGAATAGAACGAAGCACATACGAAAGAGGGTTTAGGTACTTACAGGTATGCTTGCCCCAGCGAGTTCTTGATCAGCTCCGTGGATCACAGCAACTTCAAACGATCTCCTTGCCCATCCGAGGTACGATCAAGGTAGGTCAAGTCCGATAGGGATGTGCACCTGGAAAGACTAAACACATCAACTCCACGAAACCCACCTCGCACGTAAAAGAACGACCAGAAGGATTGGAAATAGAGTAGGTCTAACCCAACCCACACTATGGAGGTGGCTCAGAACCAGAGTGCAATCATGTACATGTTCTGTTCCAAATCTGCTCTTCAGTGGAACCGAAGAGACGACCCTAGTCCTTATCTCTTTGTCGAATGACGGCGACGAGTACTGTGACTGCAACAGATCGGACATTGAGAGGGCCCAGAGGAAGGGAAACTCGAGAGATGTGCTGGGCGCTCGTTCTCTTCTTCAACCTGATCACGGTGCACTTCAAGTCCGCATCCGAATCCTTGCCGGTCCTCGTTTGGTCCTCCTCAAAGACACCGAGCTACATTGGCGAGCATTGACGGCCGTGTATGGCTTCTTCCTGCCAGTACTGGACTTGCCTTTGTTCTGTTCTGTCAGCTGCTTTCTTATGGGCGAGTGAGGTATCTTCTGGTCGGAATGCTCTCTTCTCGAATATGGCGGCCCGTGTTGAAGAAGGGGCACCTGTAACTTCTAGTGTTCGCAGAGAATGAGGCCAGACGCACTGCCCCGGGCCTGGATGAGGCGCTTACAGGAGATTCGGAGCGAAATTTTTTGGAGGTCGGCGGCGGAGATGGGAGAACCGTACAAGCGGTATTGGGGCAGGCTAACGGAATCGAACACGAAGGGAGTAGCGAGCGCTATGCAGGCTCGGCGGCTCTCCAAAGATATGTAAATCTTCGTCCTTATCGTGTTTGATAAGTCAGACCCTAGATCCTAAAGAAGCGCCGAACCTTCACTGATGATGCTTAACTGAAGGGGGAAAGGAGATAAAACAAAAAGAGGACGTTACTTCACTGGGTCCCTTCTGCATTCTGCATAACATAATGTCAACATAAGGCTGATAACATGGGGTAGAATGGCCGCCCGCGTTGGCGGAACTTGTCTGTCAAAGCCTTCGCGGACGCGCTAAGGGTCGATATTGTGTGGCGCAGATAGTCGCGACACTGCATGCTTTATGACATGACATCCGGCGGCCGCGTAGAGACTTTAGGGAGGCAGTTGTGAAGCGAAATGAGACCACGCTGCCGAGTGCGAACTGAGTGCGAAGCTGCCAAGCAATGAAAGACGTCGGAGACAGTGCCAGAAATCCTATGAGGTGGATTGGGAACAGGCTGGGTTTAACCTTAACCTGAGCCTTCTATGCATGGCGATCTTGAGGAACACTGGCGTCGAGCAAGAACGGTGTGTCTGGAACTCTGGTTTGCAAGCTCGCCGTGATCGATGCCAGTTGTGGGATTGGAGTCTTTGAAGAGCTTCATTCCAAGGAAGAGAGTGGGAGAAATGCTTCCTCCTGGCGATTCAGAGCTGTGGTATTTCGTGAAACGCAGATGTAGATGGCGGTTGCGTCATGGTGCGTATGACATTTGATACCTCCTCGGTCCGAGAAACCGCCTCTTCAACCACCGGAGGTTGCGCGAGCAGCTACGAAAAGGCTGATCGTTGTTGTCGGTTCTGAAAGAGGCAGGACTGAGCTTTGTTCCAGGTTTACTTTGGCCGCAAAGTAAGAACAATCGCGGGACGTGACTGACGGCAAACATCTTGGATCTTGCTTCCTGCAGTAGATTTCGAGAGAAGAATTCCATGACGCCGCATCGGGTGGTAGAGGAACATTTCTAGATGTCTGGCAAGAGGGGTGATTGTTCTGTTTTGTCTGGCGTTTGTTGGGGCATTGAACCGCTCAGTTGGGTTGACATGTAGATGGGCCGAAGCTTTAGAGGGCATAAGTTGTAGTCCCTGCGTGCTTGTCTCCTGCTCTGAGCTCCTGAGTTTTTGGTACCATTTGACGCAGATTTGGGATTTCTTTAGTTCTTGTCCAATGTGTAGAGTGGTCTGATAAGAGTGGCAGTTGCAAAAGCGAAACGGTGCCAAATCGCACATATTCCATGCTGTAAGGCCTTCCGCAAACGACCGTCTTGGGGCCTACTTTTAACTTTGCCTCAAAAAAGAGCTCTGTTTGGGGTGAATGCGGCGCTGGCCCTAACACATAAAGAACCTCATTCCCCTTTCGTTACCGGCCAGACTTGACGCCTCATACTTTATACGTTGCAATGGCATCGGCGACCATAACTGCAACTATCGGCACCGCAACTGCGACGCTGTTGATGGTGTACCCTCATGGCGGCATCACCGACGCAGAGCTTAAGGCCGAGCTCCTCGTTATCCAGAGCTGGTCATGGTTCGTCGTGTTTAATAGTAATGGCGCTGTACGTCTTCTCGCACAGAGTTTGCTGGTTATCGCGCGCTAAGAAAAAGTGATCGTAATGGTCATCAGGACATAGGCGGAAAGCTCCCAAACTCAACAGCTTCGTTCCCAGTCTCTGTGATGCTGGCTACGTGCATGTAGCTTCATGCTTGAATAATTGCCCACCTATTCAGATCGAGCCTGGACCAACAGGAGCGACCTGCATGTGTCCACAACCAGTCCGACGGAGCGGGTCCACATTACAGGCCGTCTTAGCACTGCAGCGGCGTGGGCGCTCAACCCGAGGGAGAATAACAGCTGCGTGCACATCTACACGAAGAACGACACCCTTGCAGATGGTTATGACAGTTGGCTCCTGAAGAATAAGAGCAAGAGCAAGCTTTCGAGTGCCGATATTCAAGCTAAGGTGACGGCGGCACTGGCAAACAATCGCGGGGTGTTGGGACAGGGAAACCTTGCTTGAGAGAAGCAGAGAACAGATGTAAAAAATAGCGCTTGTGAACTTGAATGCACTTTTATAAAATTATTCATGAGAATGTCAACGGCCCGGCATCGGACCGCGTGCCGGTAATGGGCCGTCAATATAAATATTTCATGTACACTTGCTCTGTATGTCTGTGCAATATTGACTAGCAGCACAGGCACACCTTTTCAATTGGGCAGCTTTCTTGAAACGTCCTCTCTTGCGAACCAAGCGACGTACGTTTACGGAGGTCTATAGTTTGCGTGCAGGACCGATGCCAGAACTCTCCCTGTACTGGGACGCAGACGACGATGTCGAAGGCATCCGTCGATATACCACAGGAGGCTTCCACCCCGTTCGCCTCGGCGATGTAGTGTCGTCTCGTGGTACAAGCACTGCTGCCATTGCAGACTCTCCTTCACGGCAATATCGAATCTTGCACAAGCTTGGCCACGGCGCTTTCGCAACAGTATGGTTGGCTGACGCTCTCCACGAGCCCTCGTGAGTCCGCACCCATCATATACCTTTGTACCTACCACATTGACCATAGCCAGCGTTATGTCGCCCTGAAGATCTGCGCCGCTGATGCGGATTCGGGGCATGAGCTTGACATCTTCAGCCGGCTCTCGCACCACGAATCGAAAGCGCCCAATGTGGTGCAGCTGTGCGACAGCTTTTCTATCCAGGGGCCGAACGGCTTGCACGCGGTTCTCGTTCAGGACGTGCTAGGGAGCCTACTCAGTGTCGTACGCTCACTTAGCGGGCCCAAGCATGCAAGATCGCTATGCCGCCAGATCGCATGTGGGCTTGCTGCGCTGCACAGTCATGGGATCGTGCATGGAGGCAAGTGCAGCCACACATTTATCTGCGCGATACAAGCCTGCTGACAATGGCAATGGCTACTTAGATCTCCATGCAGGAAACGTCGGCATATCCTTGCCTAGTCTAAATGACCGCTCCCCACGGGAGATCCTAGACTATCTTGGCCAACCAGAGTGTACCATTATCCTCCCGACTGAGCCACCAGCGCTCCCCCAGTCCCACC